ACTACTGGAAACTCTCCCCCTACGCTACTATCACGGACTGTGAACTCCTCGGAGTTCTTGAAGCAGTCCGCTGGGTTATCCTGACGACGGAAGGAGAGGAAGAATGGGCAGTCTTCACGGACTCTCAAGCAGTACTCAAGATCCTGTCGTCGAGATCTACGGTGGCTGGGCGGGACAAAGCGAGACAGATCACCCTGCTCTTAGCTGAAATCCCGGACAAGGTCACCTTCCACTGGGTGCCTGGTCATAGTGGCATGTTTGCTAATGACCGAGCCGATGAATTGGCAGCCAAGGGTGCCTCCATGATGGAAGTCTCTGCGGAGACGGAAATCAGTGTGAAGACCCTTAGGCGTAATCAGGCCGAAGCCGGGCGTCTGGCACTGCGTAGGTGGTGGTCAGACAAACGGGCCGGTCTAGGCACTTGCGTCAACGACTTCTTCTACTGTGCCTCGCATGCGAGGCTATGGAGTCGAGGGGAAGTTACGCCCGCTGGCAGTGCCGTGGTTTTCGGTAGGGCTCCCACTCCTGCGCATCTTCACAGGTGTGGAGTGATCTACGGTAGGGAATCTACGGCATCTCCTGCGCTCCTGCCCGCTCCTAGAGCATGCCAGGAAACGCGTTAAGGGAGGTGTCCCCTATCATTTTTACAAAATGGTCGTCGATTTGAAGCGCCGTAAGGCCTTCAATCGACTCTTCTTGGCCCTGATGCAACATCTTGATGCTCGACGGGGCCTTTTATGATTGCTTAGAAGCGGCGCATGCCGCATAGCGTTTTGGGTAGCTTAGCGCACTCTCTTTGTATATTTCATCTGCATGTCGCTGTAAAAAAAAAAAAAAAGAAAAAAAAAGAAAAAAGAAGAAAAAAAAAGAAAAAAAGGAAAAAAAAGGAAAAAAAATTCAAGCAGCGTCAGCAGCACAGGCACAACCAGTCGAGCGGATTCGAGTCATCAGAAGACTCGTCGGAGGTGCCAAGCCCAGAGGATGAAGGAGCGGAGCGACGTTAATTAAGGGCAGTAGCCTTAGAGCAGAAGAACGTGATTGCTGTATCATGTATTGCTCGTTATTAAGGACCGTTTCAATCTGCACCATCATTCCGAAAGGCTGGACAGTTGGACCAACTGGGTTGGTTGGGAGCTGTGTAACACAATTCGCCACTCATTTGAAGTGTGTCACCTTTTTTTCTAATATTGTCGGTTTACCAATTGCTAAAATTCCTGACAATTTCACTTATTTGCTCCTGCGTATATGCCGCCTCCTACATTATGAAGTGCTAGTCATATTCACATTTCAGCAATGACTCGTATTCACTTTAGCAATCAAGTATAGAGAGTAACAAGTTCGAAGTTGCTTTTCATCTAGTGCCACTATTCTGCTACCTTTTTTTTGCTGCGTTGTATTTTGCCGAATTATTTCACATGATGTTTTTTTCTGATAACTTTCTTGATATTTTTCTAACTTCAAACTGCCGAGCTTTTATATTGTGTCTTCTGGATTGGAAGCCCCAAGGCTCCAAGTAGGATAGAAAACTCGAGTCATTCGGACATGGGAAACTGAATTCCCTATCTTGAGAAGAAACTGGTTTTTTCAATGATCTTTGATGCGCAATTTTCATCTGAGCTCGGGAACGTCACTTGTCCACAACTTGAACTCGGAAAATGGAGTACATCAATGAATCATTCGGTTCCAGAGATGATGCATAAATCATTCGTAGTTCGAATCTCGCATAATGTAAATCCACATTTAATGCTCTCAGCCTGATTTTGATTTATTGTCGGTGACTATTGAATCGAAAGTCACCGACAATAAACCGTCACCGACATTCTAAGAAGATGACATGAATGCAGCATTCAGGAAGCTAAGCATATTTGTCCGCTCATATCGTAATCTTGGGTTCGACTTAGTAGCAGCCCAGGATATGTACTCACTCAAGTGTATTATATCGGTGCGAAGTTCGAGTTACTGCTGTCGACTATCAAATGTCCACTTAATTGAGAGTATATACCTTCACAAAGCTGGGTAAGTCCATTCACTCCTCGAGCTGATTGACGAATCCACTCACATCTTGGATAAAACACAACGGAATTCTAATGATTGGAGAACTCATCTACCACTTACCTAGATTGATTACACGACTACTAAGAAAAGAACATTCGACCAACATAGTTGATGCTAAGGATACCTAAACTAGCTAACAATAGTAGGGTCACCTTCGCAGTCACTATCAGTGGGGGCAAAGCAAAGAGACCATCATCCTTCTTGATGATAC